CCTGTAAACAAAATATACATTACTCTGACAGAAAAGGAAATGCAAACTACTTCCACGGCATAACTACTAATCTAGAATAGGAAATGAAAATTTTACGTTTTTGCACCAATCCAGTAAACATCTTTTTAAGCAAAAGAAAATCACAATTTCTTACTTACCTCACCATCACTCGCACCAACATGAACACTGACCTTCTCTTCGGAAGGCATGGACCTCTTGGTCACCGACATATTATGAAAGGGAGGAGTTCTACTGGGATTCTGCCTTGTATCAACATGAACTCTGACCTTCTCTTCGGAAGGCATGGACCTCTTGGTCACCGACATATTATGAAAGGGAGGAGTTCTATCGGGATTCTGCCTTGTATAAGTTACTTTCTTAATTTGACCACTCGATGATTTCCCTGGTTCAACCTTTGAGCTTCCATGATTCAATTTCCCCCCTAAAAGACCCCATCTCATCTCAAAAATCTTATTCAGGTTTTTTGCCATCTGATGAAAAATATTGGCAGGAGGATTGTAGACCATGGCATTAGAAAAAGTCAGTCTGACATCAGCTGCAAACTCTTCAGTGTTGCGATACATATTTTTCTCCAGCTTTGATTTTATCGTGCCCAAATCCATGGGATGAGAGATAATATGAAAGTAATCGGGAATGTTTAGAGACAAGGGATCAACTGGTTTACTGAAAGCCCAACCATCCTTATGAGTTATCAGTGTTTTCAGAATCGTTGAACACTGCAACGTCACACTACGATCCATCTTCAGCTTCTTCTCTTTCTGAGATTCGAGAACTTCTGGCGCTGCACGCTTCTTAGAACCTGGGAAAGAAGGTTTTGCCATTGAGCTGACCTCATTAAGTGACGCTTGATGCCCAAAGTCACACGAGCGTTTCTGAGGATCAGCTTCTATTTTTTTGCCAAGATCAGCTTCAATTCTTTTGCAGGCAAATTTAATCTTCAGCTTGTTGCTTGATAGCATGGTTTTAGTGGCAATCATACTAACAAACTGTGTCGATTCAAGATGGACAAAGCCCGAATTTCAAGTTCTTAGGAAAAAAATTATGGCTTCCCTAATACCCAATAACTCTGAGAAAACCAGTGTCCTCTCACAAAACAGGTATAAAAACACACCACCCTCTGCAGAAAAAAAAGTTCGCAAAAATTAAGCAACAAATAGTGCTATCAATGCACAAGAAGTGTACTGCGTAATACTTTTACAGTAAAAAATAAAAAATAAAATTAACAAAACACCTAGTATGTAGATAGCCCACTTTCCAGTTTTTTTTCCCCAATAACATACTAAATAAATTGAGGGGCCTGTGGTGATTCTGACTGTGTGACATCATAAAAATTCAATTCAACTACTCCGACTATAATAATTACCCTAAAGGATTGTATCTGCATAAGTAGATAAAAAGGATTTCCAGAAGTTAAATAACAAATTAACCAAGCAACATATCGGCATAACAATGGCTAATTTTTAAACTACCCCCAAGTACCAAAAACCATGCTCTTGACACACTTTAATTAGGTCCCAAACACAACGAAATTAGAAAAAAACCCAAAAACATAAAATCACGAGATCCACACACAGATTCATGAAAACGCCAGATAAAGAAAAACCCAAGACTACACAGTAACAAGTCAGGAAACCCAGATGAAGACGACGACTAAAAACTTGAAAAAACAAAGTGAGAAAATCGTGAGATAAGTGTAGAAGACGAACTCACCGAAATTGATCGAAGGGAGAGAGCTAGATGACCACCGACTGATTGTGCGTAGAGAGCGACGCAGTGAGAGCGAGAGGGCTTAAAAGCCCCCTCGTGGTCGTGGGTATGCGATATGAGGAAGAGACTAGGGTTCAGAGAGAGAGGGAGCGTGGGAATGAAAAGAAAGGAAGAGAGCACAGTGAGGTGGTAGGGGCTTAGGGTTTTTCTCTTTTTACTCGACCCCAAAACAGCTAAGCTTTTTTCTATTTTTTTAAAAATATATTTTACGCGTAGATTTGGATTGGATGGAATTGGATCTTTCTAAGCGATATTTACAAGATTCTTTCTTTCCCTTTTTATGCACTGTGTAAAATTACATTTTTACCCTTTGTTTCCTTTCCTCTCTGGGATTTGGTTTTGTGAAATTCCAAGAGAGCCTAATTTATCGTATTTTATTTCCATGTGTTATGTACATAAATTTATAAACAATCAGTTCTAAGTGAAATGGTGGGTTTTTAAACCGCAATAATGAGAGATAAACTCAAAATTTAACTTTGTAGAATCTGTTTAAATAGTCTCTTGGATATACGCTCTAAAATACATGAACAAAATTCGAATGGTTCGAGAGAGATTTTTTTTATCGGTTCGAAAATCGGGATTCTGCCTTGTATAAGTTACTTTCTTAATTTGACCACTCGATGATTTCCCTGGTTCAACCTTTGAGCTTCCATGATTCAATTTCCCCCCTAAAAGACCCCATCTCATCTCAAAAATCTTATTCAGGTTTTTTGCCATCTGATGAAAAATATTGGCAGGAGGATTGTAGACCATGGCATTAGAAAAAGTCAGTCTGACATCAGCTGCAAACTCTTCAGTGTTGCGATACATATTTTTCTCCAGCTTTGATTTTATCGTGCCCAAATCCATGGGATGAGAGATAATATGAAAGTAATCGGGAATGTTTAGAGACAAGGGATCAACTGGTTTACTGAAAGCCCAACCATCCTTATGAGTTATCAGTGTTTTCAGAATCGTTGAACACTGCAACGTCACACTACGATCCATCTTCAGCTTCTTCTCTTTCTGAGATTCGAGAACTTCTGGCGCTGCACGCTTCTTAGAACCTGGGAAAGAAGGTTTTGCCATTGAGCTGACCTCATTAAGTGACGCTTGATGCCCAAAGTCACACGAGCGTTTCTGAGGATCAGCTTCTATTTTTTTGCCAAGATCAGCTTCAATTCTTTTGCAGGCAAATTTAATCTTCAGCTTGTTGCTTGATAGCATGGTTTTAGTGGCAATCATACTAACAAACTGTGTCGATTCAAGATGGACAAAGCCCGAATTTCAAGTTCTTAGGAAAAAAATTATGGCTTCCCTAATACCCAATAACTCTGAGAAAACCAGTGTCCTCTCACAAAACAGGTATAAAAACACACCACCCTCTGCAGAAAAAAAAGTTCGCAAAAATTAAGCAACAAATAGTGCTATCAATGCACAAGAAGTGTACTGCGTAATACTTTTACAGTAAAAAATAAAAAATAAAATTAACAAAACACCTAGTATGTAGATAGCCCACTTTCCAGTTTTTTTTCCCCAATAACATACTAAATAAATTGAGGGGCCTGTGGTGATTCTGACTGTGTGACATCATAAAAATTCAATTCAACTACTCCGACTATAATAATTACCCTAAAGGATTGTATCTGCATAAGTAGATAAAAAGGATTTCCAGAAGTTAAATAACAAATTAACCAAGCAACATATCGGCATAACAATGGCTAATTTTTAAACTACCCCCAAGTACCAAAAACCATGCTCTTGACACACTTTAATTAGGTCCCAAACACAACGAAATTAGAAAAAAACCCAAAAACATAAAATCACGAGATCCACACACAGATTCATGAAAACGCCAGATAAAGAAAAACCCAAGACTACACAGTAACAAGTCAGGAAACCCAGATGAAGACGACGACTAAAAACTTGAAAAAACAAAGTGAGAAAATCGTGAGATAAGTGTAGAAGACGAACTCACCGAAATTGATCGAAGGGAGAGAGCTAGATGACCACCGACTGATTGTGCGTAGAGAGCGACGCAGTGAGAGCGAGAGGGCTTAAAAGCCCCCTCGTGGTCGTGGGTATGCGATATGAGGAAGAGACTAGGGTTCAGAGAGAGAGGGAGCGTGGGAATGAAAAGAAAGGAAGAGAGCACAGTGAGGTGGTAGGGGCTTAGGGTTTTTCTCTTTTTACTCGACCCCAAAACAGCTAAGCTTTTTTCTATTTTTTTAAAAATATATTTTACGCGTAGATTTGGATTGGATGGAATTGGATCTTTCTAAGCGATATTTACAAGATTCTTTCTTTCCCTTTTTATGCACTGTGTAAAATTACATTTTTACCCTTTGTTTCCTTTCCTCTCTGGGATTTGGTTTTGTGAAATTCCAAGAGAGCCTAATTTATCGTATTTTATTTCCATGTGTTATGTACATAAATTTATAAACAATCAGTTCTAAGTGAAATGGTGGGTTTTTAAACCGCAATAATGAGAGATAAACTCAAAATTTAACTTTGTAGAATCTGTTTAAATAGTCTCTTGGATATACGCTCTAAAATACATGAACAAAATTCGAATGGTTCGAGAGAGATTTTTTTTATCGGTTCGAAAAAAAACATTACGAAAACATAGATACATAGAGGGTGGATGAATAAACGGTGAATTAGTGTCCATTTAATTTGTTAGATGAATAATTATTTAAAGGCTAAAGATTATACAATTTAATCCTATGATCAGCCAAAATTTGTAAAATAAAATAATTAAAAAAAGCATCACAGAAGGTCGATCAGGTAAATGAGCACTCTCAAGGGTTAAAGAGTTTAGCAATCGGCGTACATTCACCCTTTACAACCAGTATTGGGTCATAATCTAAAAACCAAAATCAAACATTGCGATTTGGTTCAGTTTTGAGACCGTTCAACTTTTGATGGTAAAACCGAACCAAACCGCAATGGACCCTTCAGGTTTGGCTGATTCAATGCCAACCCCCAACTGACCCCTTTACAACAAGTATTGGGTCATAATCTAAAAAACAAAATCCACCATTACAATTTGGTTCAATTTTGAGACCGCTCACAACTTTTGATGGTAAACCGAACCAAACCGCAATGGACCATTTAGGTTCGGCTGATTGAATGCCAACCCCATAATCACAATCAGACAACCCCAACTGATATTAGCGAAATAAACTGAAACAAAACATCTAGTGCTAAAGATGCAAATTGAAACATATAAATTAGTGACAACGGTGAACGCTGTATTGGAACTCTAATCTCAATTCTCAACTGATAACAGAAAAAGTGCCACAAACACTTTGATGTTTAAAGTAAACTAACAAAAACTTGAACAAATCTCCATACTTGCTTAAAAGCTCCAACAAAATAGAAGTGCAGCACAAAAGTACAAGCAAAATAATGCATTTAAAACAGAGATGTTCCCTTCCCCTTCTTGTCTCCACCAATTTCAAAGTGCTTGCACCTCTGCAGAAAAACAAGAGATTGGGTTACTTAATCGTTATCAAAAATCTTGGGTAGAAACCAAAAGCAACAATTTACACCATAACACTAACCTTGATTGGGTGCTGGGACACATGTTTGCAGCCCTGGCATTGGAGCCTCAGGACAATCTTCTTCGTGGTCTTTGCCTGTTTAGAGACATCGAGGTTAAACATGCACCAAATTTAAAAACTAATAACAAGACACAAGACAAAATAAATCTGACCGAAGCGAATAAGCGATAAAATAAGCTCTTGGAACCGAGAATTTGGCTTATACCTTCTTGTGGAAGACTGGTTTGGTCTGACCACCATAACCAGACTGCTTGCGATCGTAACGACGCTTCCCCTGAGCAGCAATACTAGCCTTGCCTGTCTTGTATTGTGTAACCTTGTGCAAGGTGTGCTTCTTGCACTCCTTGCTCTTGCAGTAAGTCTTCTTTGTCTTTGGAACGTTCACCTGCAACATTACACCATGAGTTATGATCCATGTTCAAATACTTCAAACAGAAAATCCAAATAAAATATGGACTAAGCAATTTGGAGAAAACCCAGTTATAGCAAGCAGCATAAGAAACTAATTACAAACAGAATGAGATTATGCCATCTGATAAAAACCCTATTCACAGTGAGCAGCGTAAGAACCAAATCAATAACAAATCTCTGTGAATAACAAAATAATTGTTTTGTGTGATAAGAACTTAGCAAGTTTAACAGTTGCGCATCCCAATAAGATCAGTTCATTTTCAGATGTCAAGTTGCACCATATAACCCTAAGCTATCTTCAATACCAACTTCAACCCATAAAAACAAAACAACATTGACGTTTAAGCTAAAGGAATAAAAAAACACAAAATGAAAAGAAAAACCACAAACCATAGAATCAAAATTGATGTTTGATTTTCTCACATACACCACTTAAAACAAACAGATCCTAATCAAACATTAAGAGAACCCGATTACACCTATGTCTGTGAGAGAGAAGAGGGCAGAGGGAAGAGGGAAGAGGGAAGAGAGAGATACCATGGTGAAGGAAGCGGCGCCGATACAAAACTGAGCAGGAACACAACAATCGTAGTAAGAACCCTAGAGGGTATCAGAGTGGTAAGCGTCCGATTTTATACTTGATGGGATGGGCTTTTTATTAGTCATAGATTTTCTTATTTTCAAGGTAGATTGGGTTTGGGCCTGCTGGCCTAATTTCGGAGTTGGGCTTTTGTATGGCTCTCAATCCGTATCACCTCAAAACAGACTCATATTCCCAATAAGATTTTTTTTTTAAAATTACATAATTTTAAAAACTTAAAAAAATAATTACAAAAAATTGTTATATACAAGAATATCGGGTGCAAGAGTAAACGCTATTATTATCCACTTGAGCTTCAAATCTATTTTCTATGTTCACCTTTTTTTTTTTGTGAAGAAACATTGCTAACGCCCAACAAAGAAACTAAACAATGGTTCGAGGCCTACATACTCCAAGTAAATCTTCACTAAGAAAAGACCCAATACTATCAGGAGGAACATGGAAGGTTAACAGACCCAACTGAAGATATGAACCCACCCAATTCAGCTCTATGTTCACTTTTTAATTGTCCATAGATAAACAACTTTTAATGCCTTTTTAATTTCCTAAATAACATGGTGTGATTGTTACCACAGTAGCTACAAGGTTTTGTGTTTGTTGATTACAGAAGTATAAAGAAAACAAAGGTTTAACAAATCTGCTTATATCACTGGTCGTGTCTCCCAAATTCAAGTCAACGTGATTGCCACACAAAAGAAGAAAATAATAGTCAAATAGGAATTTTACCCTATAAAAACTCAAGGCCTGTGAGAAATATACAAGAATATTTAAAGAATTCGTTGGGACGTTGAATAACTAGCTTTTTGTGCTTCATACAGGAAGGAAGCAAAGATAATGACATGCTTCATTCAAGCAATCTACTTGCTTGAACTTGAGAGGCAAGAAAACAGAGATGGAGAAAATGCTCTTGCTCCAAAATGGTGGCAGGCCTTTGAATGTAAGCTAGTCATCCAAACCTTACAAGAAGAAAGTGGATCACCATCTGGTGCAATTCTAGAATGGGAACCATCTGCAGCACTGTATAACAAGTACCAACCAAGCAAACCGTAAACCGCTTTAAACAGCACAAGGTTCTGCATCAACTTATCAGTTTCCTTTTGGTAAAACTTCAACAAAATCTGATACTGCTCTTTCGCTATAACGCTTTAAACAACAACGATTGTTGGAAATGGCCCTTTTACAATTAACTGTTTCATACGCCATGATATGGACAAAATGAATACCCCTTTCCAGCCACTGCGTAAATACCGATTGCCATATCCTCTAGTCTATACAGCTGAAAGAAATACTTGGCACTTGACTTTTACTGTATTGAGTATTAGGCCGGTAAGTTTCACACATATGAAACTGTCAATGGTTCTCTTGAGTCTTCTCCTGATATCTTGCGATAGTAGGAGTAGAGAGCCAACTGGACAAGGCCTAAAATTGTTCCAATACCATTTGGGATCTGCATCCAAAATATCATTTGAGGACAGATAAACACAAGTCAATAAGTAATAAAAGCGTGATGTGGTTTTCTGCTTAGAGTGATATAATAGCTGATGGAATTTGGATTGGCATGTTAAGATCTTGCAGCAGAAAACAGAAGACTTACATAAAGGAAGGGGTCTTCCTTGAATATTCCATAGGCAGAGAAAGAGATACTCATCAAGAAAGTTGCAAAAGAGAGATTAAATGGCATGAATTCGACACTCCTTGTTTTGATAACCAGTTTCTGCAAAAGGGTATATGAGAAACCACATCAGTGACAAGAAATTGCACTGTCTAAAAGCAATCCGAGTGAGAATTATTCCACACGAACTTACTATGATAAACAGCGGCGAAGCAAACATTGAAATAAGTGAAGCGACACTCAAATATCCAACGAACGTTTGCCTGTCATCATACTCTAAAATTCCTAAGCTCATGAAGACAACGAGCGCAAATATAACAGCAACTGCCCCTAACAATCCCAACATCCTCAGCTGCAATGAACATTTTAAGGAACAGCAGACAGTCATGCAGAGTTGTAAAAGGGATTTCAATAGAAGTGCAGGTCTATTGGGGAGAGATGATAACCTTAGTTGCTCTTTCAGCGTACGTAATGAAAATGCTCAAGTAGACTAACTGGAAAACAGCCCCAAATGAATTGACTGTGGCCACCAATATAATACCAGTCTTCACTACAGGCATGCCATACCAAAGACATATCAAGCAATTCAAAAGGGCATATATGTAAGGCAATCCAGAGAATTGTTCTGTTGACTTGTTTCTAATGATTCTCTTGAATGTTGGCCTGGAAAACATAAAAAGATTCATATATAATCAGTGGGGAAGTGCATAATTTCATAAATTTCCATTTTTTTCTCATAAACTTTTTGAGCAACTTACAATGGTGACACAAACAACACGAAGGCAAAGATATTCCCTGCAGTTGACAGAGATGGGTGTTAGAATGTTTCTTAGAACTCATAAAAACATATTTGATGAAGATTTCTTTTTCCTTAACTAAATTTAGAAAATTCTAAGCAAAACCATACACTTGCTATCCAATCTGATTCCTATACATGCATCTTAAACAACATATGAATTTTCATCTTAAATTAACAATTCAAAAGCCTTCAATCAAGGTAAAGTTCTTGATCCACAACAGTATTATATAAAGTCATTCAATATAATTCATGGTTTTGCTTCCCGAAACAAAAAACACACAGAAAACTATACCTGAATCATATATTGAAAGAAGTTATAAGCAAATATATACAATGAAAGAAGCGTATTGGAGCAGATATGGAGTCAAAGTGAAGAAGGGTACCAGCAATGCCGGCTGCAGTACTGAAACCTGAATAAACAGAAGACAACCCAGTTGACAACATCGATCTATGAATGATCAAAACCAGAGATTAGAAAATCTATGTACAACTTCACTGGCTGCTACGCAACACCAAACAGAAGCTCTCTCTCTCTCTCTCTTCTCTCTCTCTCTCAATCTTGTAGCTTTGTACATTAATGGTCCAAAAGGGAAGGCGTTTTATTAATTACATACTTGTTACCGGAAAACTGGCACCAGTCATTATTTACTACCAACTATTTGGGATTATGTTAATCTAATGATCATCCAATTATGTTAAACTTGTAAATTTCTGATAAAGCCAAGAGGGATTTCCAAATAGGGTAAATATTAGAAATTGGGATTACGTTAATCTAATAATCCGAACATGAATTTCCAACCATTGATTTTTCACTGCCATTCTTCTGATACAACTTCCATAACTTGAAAACTGATTGGCAGAAGGAGATAATAGCTCGCTAGGAGACGTCATACCGCATACGGCTTTTTGTGGCTCTTAGATAAACATAAACTTCAAGTGGGCTCATCCCTCACTATCAATCATCGATTGGGTTTGATTTTTACAGAATTTGGGACCATTGAAATCATGAATGTTTTTTTCTTGTCTCTTATGCATATACGTGGTTATAATCACGTGTTATATATAATAAATATTTTAAATTAAATATCCCATGAATATTGGAATATGCAGAAGGTTTTGGGGGGCTAAAATTGAGTGGTCAAACAGACGAGTACATGGGTTTTGATCAAGAATATTGGAATATAAGTGCTCGCACCTGAAACTTATGTACAAGGAAACAAAATGGACCTCTCAACATGAAGTTTATTATAGCTGTCACGACAGGGCCAACTGGACTCATTGTTGTAATTGATCACGGCTCCTTCTTCTTTTTTTTTCTTTTTAAATTTTTTTTTTTTTTCATATAATTTCAATTAGTTTGCTTATCTTTCCTTACCTGCTGTTGTTTTCGTTAGAACGTATCAACAGAAAGATATCATATGACATGCAGAATTAGTCAAAGACACGACATGGATACTAGGTAAGAAATACAGCATTTCAGGTTTCGTTCGGAGAGGATTGGCTTGTTTAACTTGTTGCCATGTGATTGTTCCATTCACTGAATACTTGACAAATAGCGATCAAATAAATGAATTGTTATAGTTTTTTATGAACACTAAAAGCAGAAAAATGGAGCAATTGTGATCAATCAATGAATGTTCACCATATAAATATATTATTTTTTAGTATAAGTGATAGTCTAAACTACAGGAAAAAGGAGTTTCACGCATACATACAATACAACAAAGATGTCACGAGGGTTCAAACCCCTAGACTCCATTGGCCACCATAGAGATGTTATAACAGGGATTCTTCATCAATTTGTACTATTTTTGGCTAAAGTGATGTTTAAATTGCAAGATGGACACAAGAATTTCTCTTATTTGGGCCACTGTTATTTCTTGGCCTTTTGGGCTACAATTCCTGCCGACCACATTGGGTTTAGAATGTGAATTTTTTTAGCAACTTGTGGGTTAGTGTATGTATCGATCATAATTTTTTATTTATTTTTTAAATATTGGAGGGAAAGAAACCTATAGGGTTGGATCAATTGCATTTCTCCTTGGTAAATGATGTTTATTGAATTTCCCTTTTATTAATAATTTCTTAAGTTTTTTAAAAATAAAAATTTGAACACTATACTCTTAAAAATACTTAAAATAACTTCTTTTTGCCTCATAGAAAAAACACAAAACTCCTCCCCGCCAAACAAAGCGTGATTACCGGGAACCAAACATGCACCAATATATTTCCCGCCATTTTCCTTTTCCTTTTGGGGTCACTCTCTCACTCCCTTCATAACCCTTTAGTTTTCCCAGTAAACCCCCTCAGATGAAGCCCATTTGAACAGAGCTCATCGCCTCATACCGATTCTAGCGCTTTGAGGAGGAGGAAGATGGGGATACAAGGGCTATTGCCGCTATTGAAATCGATAATGGTGCCCATCCACATCAAGGACTTGAACGGCTCTTGCGTGGCGGTTGATACCTATTCTTGGCTTCACAAAGGTGCCTTGTCCTGCAGCAAAGAGCTATGCAAAGGAGTACCCACCTCCAGGTCTCGTTTTTTTAACGGAATTAGTCGAATTGTGATGATGGGTTTTTGTTTGTTGATCATCTGTGACATAGAGTAGCT